TGAATGTCAGCAGACAGCAAGAAGCCTCCCAGATCTCCAGATGCATTTGAGATATCAAAAAAGTACTCCAGAGTGTTGTTCAGCATGGAGGTGAGTAGAAAATGAAGGCTAATCATGTTTTGGGTGTACTATTCCTTTAAGATGAAACATTTTTTTCTGTCAATATGCACTATCCAAAACTCAAGTGGAGAAATTTTAGTTTCACAGTGTTTAATTTCATAAAAAAATCTTCTTTAAGGCAACTTTTTGCTGTCTCATTATTAATCAATTAATGAAAAAAAAATAACCGATTAATTGATTTTCAAAATAATTTTTAGTTGCATTCCTAATTTATTTATTTTTGACCAAATCTAGAGAAGGTCAGCTAAAAAAAAAAAAACTATATGCTTTGGTAAAAATTACAGGTGGAATTTTTTTTATTTCTCTCAGTATAATGGACTGGAACATATGGAAGCCCGTTTCCGCCACTCTGTAAAAAAAAAAAAAAAAAAACTATCTCAATATAATGAGATAGTATCTCAATATAATGAGATAGTAACTCAATATAATGAGATAGTATCTCATTATAATGAGATAGTTTTTTTTTTTTTTTTTTTACCATTTTTTTAAGTTAAAATTGAGTATTTTTGGTCAATAGCTCCCAGGTCATGTGACCTATTGATGCAAAATCAGTGTGAAATTGTTCTACTAGTCTCTGTAGATGGGGCACACTCATTTGTTTTTCATTTTAACTCTTTTTTTATTTTTTAGCAATTTTTTAAGTTAAATTTGAGTATTTTTGGTCAATAGCTCCCAGATCATGTGACCTATTGACGCAAAATCACTTGGAAATTGTTCTACTAGTCTCTGTAGATGGGGCACACTCATTTGATTTTCATTTTAACTCTTTTTTTTTATTTTTTACCAATTTTTTTAGTTAAAATTTAGTATTTTTGGTCAATAGCTCCCAGGTCATGTGACCTATTGACCCAAAATCAGTGTGAAATTGTTCTACTAGTCTCTGTAGATGGGGCACACTCATTTGTTTTGCATTTTAACTCTTTTTTTTATTTTTTTACCAATTTTTTTAGTTAAAATTGAGTATTTTTGGTCAATAGCTCCCAGGTCATGTGACCTATTGACCCAAAATCAGTGTGAAATTGTTCTACTAGTCTCTGTAGATGGGGCACACTCATTTATTTTTCATTTTAACTCTTTTTTTTATTTTTTAGCAATTTTTTAAGTTAAAATTGAGTATTTTTCTTCAATAGCTCCCAGGTCATGTGACCTATTGACCCAAAATCAGTGTAAAATTGTTCTACTAGTCTCTGTAGAACTCATTTGTTCTCATTTGTTTTTCATTTTAACTCTTTCTTTTATTTTTTACCAATTTTTTTAGTTAAAATTGAGTATTGTTGGTCAATAGCTCCCAGGTCATGTGACCTATTGACCCAAAATCAGCGTGAAATTGTTCTACTAGTCTCTGTAGATGGGTCACACTCATTTGTTTTGCATTTTAACTCTTTTTTAATTTTTTTACCATTTTTTTTAGTAAAAATTGAGTATTTTTGGTCAATAGCTCCCAGGTCATGTGACCTATTGACCCAAAATCAGTGTGAAATTGTTCTACTAGTCTCTGTAGATGGGGCACACTCATTTATTTTTCATTTTAACTCTTTTTTTATTTTTTACCAATTTTTTAAGTTAAAATTGAGTATTTTTGGTCAATAGCTCCCAGGTCATGTGACCTATTGACCCAAAATCAGTGTGAATTGTTGGGTCCCCCCTTACATGGGCCCACCACCCGTGAGAGGGGCCATAAGGGTCGTATGCAATGTGTGTTGGCCGGGGGAGGGGACCCTGGTGGTCCGATCCTCGGCTGCAGAAGCTGGCTCTTGGGATGTGGAATGTCACCTCGCTGGTGGGAAGGGACCGGAGCTAGTGTGTGAGGCTGAGAGGTTCCAGCTAGAAATAGTCTGTCTCACCTGACGTATGGTTCTGGTTCTGGAACCAGTCTCCTTGAGAGGGGCTGGACATACTTCCACTCTGGAGTTGCCCACAGTGAGAGGCGCTGGGCAGGATTGGGCATACTTGTTGCCCCCCATCTCGGCGCCTGTACGTTGGGGTTCATCCCGGTGAACGAGAGGGCTCCGCCTAAGGGTGGGGGGACGGGTTCTGACTGTTGTCTGTGCTAACGGGCCGAACAACAGTTAAGATTACCCACCCTTCTTGGAGTCCTTAGAGGGAGAACTGGAGGGTGCTCCTCCTGGGGACTCCCTTGTTCTGATGGGAGACTTCAACGCTCACGTGGGCAATGACAGTGAGACCTGGAGGGGCATGGTTGGGAGGAATGGTCACCCCGATCTGAACTCGAGTGGTGTTCTGTTGTTGGACTTCTGTGCTCGTCATGGATTGTCCATAACGAACACCATGTTCAAGCATAAGGGTGTCCATATGTGGTAAAAAATAGAAAAAGAGTTAAAATGAAAAACAAATAAGTGTGCCCCATCTACAGAGACTAGTAGAACAATTTCACACTGATTTTGGGTCAATAGGTCACATGACCTGGGAGCTATTGAAGAAAAATACTCAATTTTAACTTAAAAAATTGCTAAAAAAATAAAAAAAGAGTTAAAATGAAAAACAAATAAGTGTGCCCCATCTACAGAGACTAGTAGAACAATTTCACACTGATTTTGGGTCAATAGGTCACATGACCTGGGAGCTATTGACCAAAAATACTCAATTTTAACAAAGAAAATTGGTAAAAAAATAAAAAAAGAGTTAAAATGAAAAACAAATGAGTGTGCCCCATTTACAGAGACTAGTAGAACAATTTCACACTGATTTGGGGTCAATAGGTCACATGACCTGGGAGCTATTGACCAAAAATACTCAATTTTGACTTAAAAAATTGGTAAAAAATAAAAAAAGAGTTAAAATGAAAACAAATGAGTGTGCCCCATCTACAGAGACTAGTAGAACAATTTCACACTGATTTGGGGTCAATAGGTCACATGACCTGGGAGCTATTGACCAAAAATACTCAATTGTAACTTAAAAAATTGGTAAAAAAAACAAAAAAAACTATATCAATATAATGAGATACTATCTCATTATATTGAGTTACTATCTCATTATAATGAGATACTATCTCATTATAATGAGATACTATCTCATTATATTGAGATACTATCTCATTATAATGAGATACTATCTCATTATATTGAGTTACTATCTCATTATAATGAGATACTATCTCATTATATTGAGTTACTATCTCATTATAATGAGATACTATCTCATTATATTGAGTTACTATCTCATTATAATGAGATACTATCTCATTATATTGAGTTACTATCTCATTATAATGAGATACTATCTCATTATATTGAGATACTATCTCATTATAATGAGATACTATCTCATTATATTGAGTTACTATCTCATTATAATGAGATACTATCTCATTATATTGAGTTACTATCTCATTATATTGAGATAGTTTTTTTTTTTTTTTTTTTACAGAGTGGCGGAAACGGGCTTCCATAGGAACATTATATCGCAAAGAAAAATGCTAATTTCCTTCAATTCAAAATTATCCTGATGCGATGTACTATAAATAAATATAAATTGGAAAACGGAAAACTCGCTATTAAATATAATCGCACATGTAAGCACCGACCAACATATTGCTGAAAAGGAGTTTTACGTCACTCGCTGTTTCCTGACGTGTACGCCCCCTTCAAGTAGGCGTTCCGCTCCTTTTTAAACCGCCGTTGTATGATCCGGCCGGCTGCCCTTTTGCCACAACAGGGAGGAATATTTTTCCTTTGTAATGGCGAAAAATTTAAGCCGTCATGCGACTGAACGCATTTTATTATTTATCTGTAACACGAAGTGAGGAAACAAATTATATCCCACTGACTGCTTTAGCAAATAGATTTAAGTCTTCACTCAATGTTTCTATGGGCCTATTCATTATTTGCTGCAGAGGTTGGCCCTACAAAACCTAAACATTTAAGAAAGTATTTAGTTATAATTTAAAATTACGATAGAATATAAATATTTTTTACTGCTGTTGGCAGAAAAATAAGAGAAATGGAAGCAGTGACTTTCATCTCAGAATTCTGGCTTTTTCTCAGAATTCTGACTTTAATCTCAGAATTCTGACTTTTATCCTGGAATTCTGACTTTTATCCCAGAATTCTGACTTTAATCTCGGAATTCTGACTTTAATCTCAGAATTCTGACTTTTATCCTGGAATTCTGACTTTAATTCCAGAATTCTGACTTTTTTTCTCGGAATTCTGACTTTAATCTCAGAATTCTTATTTTTTTCTCTCGGAATTTTGACTTTAATCTAAGAATTTAGAATTTTTTCTCAAAATTCTGACTTTAATCTCAAAATTCTGACTTTTTTCTTAGAATTCTGACTTTAATCTCAGAATTTTGGATCTTGATTTAGATGGTCACCATAAAGCAACAGATGTGGGTTGTGGAATGTGAGTTGTTTGAGAGGGCAAGTAACACATTGGTGGAAAAGGACAAAATAAAAATATAAAAATGAGTTACAAAAGGAATTTATGTGTTTTAACTGCCTTTAAAGTCTTTAAATCCCTTTTATTACCAGAAACTGGAATTGTTTCAAAAAAGTTGTAGATCACTTAAAAGAAAAGAAAAATATGTGGCTTTATTTATTTATTTTTTTCGTAAATATGGAATTTTGATATAGCCGAATAAAATGTATGTGGAAAAAATCCTATTTTGGGCTGAATTGTTTTAAAACCAAACAAAATATAAAAGAAATCAGGTTTTATTGTGGTGGGAATCTGTAGTTAAGAACATTTGAGGCGCCACATTTAACGGAGACGTTGCAAGAGCTAAAATATTTTATGGTTCATAAAGATAATATCTATTTTTGTTAATAAACGTATGGTCGACAAACGTAGGGTGCCGCTTTAGCTTCAATCTTGTCACCACTCCACTAATATGGTAATCGGTGCTCCGCCAGCCACGCTGACATTTAAATGGTGCGGACCCGCTGGGATGGTTCCGGGGATCCTCATTAATGGGCTCTTTTATTCGATCCTTATTTCACCTAATTTAGAGATAATGGTCCCGGTGGAATATCAGTAAAGTTGCTTACATAAAAGATGACCAACCAAACGCAGGAGACGTGATAACCTGAAGCTAACCTGGTGCTAAACCGAGCCTGTGGCGATGCTTCAAGCCAGTATGGACGGCTGTCAGTTCGCGCTTATCGCCGTTCTTCTAACGGCTGGTTCGGTTGTCGGGAACCCGGAGACTCTCGCTCATGAAGACGGTGCTCCACCTTCAAGAATTGGTAAGAGGAACCGAGCGACGAAACTAAAAACTGCTCCAATTTGCAGCCATTGTATTCAGCTAATGCTAGCTATGATGGCTAACAGAGAACCTTGAATCTTTTCATGTTTTTAGCAGTAAGTTTCAGAGACTAAGTTGTTTTTCACAGAAATATGGAAACACATGCAGTAAACTAGCTCTCCAACATTTTTCTGGTCAAAGCAATGTATTGTTATTTATTAATTAGCAGTATACTATGTGCACCTGTTTATATTTTTTTATTTTTTCTGCTTGCCATACATATATGGAGGACCAGCTCTACCATATTTAAAAATAAATAGCGAAATGAATAAATACTTAATAAATATATAAGCATACAATTAGTTGCCCCAAAAATACAATAACAATAAATGTCGGTAGAAATTAAATTATACAGTGAGACATAAATGTATATATTCAATTCAGTTTATTTTTATAACACCAATTCACAACACAAGTCATCTCATGGCACATTACAGTTCACCAGATCATACAGTCAAACTGATTCAACGTTTTTTATCTAAGGAAAACCTGTTGATTGCATTGACTCAAATGCAATCCCTCACACTAAGCATGCTTGTAGCGACAATGGAGAGGAAAAACTCTCTTTTAACAGGAAGAAATCTCCAGCAGAACCAGGCTGTTCTTTTAATTGGCTTCTTTATTTATTGGCCCGGTAATAATTAACTTATCTATTTATTGTCCGTTATAATTTTCAACTTTATTAATTACTTATTTAAAGAATTTATTTTTGTCTGTTTTATTCTTCCTTTGTAGTTTTTTTTACCTTGTTTATTGCTTCAATGCTATTTATTTCTGCCTGTCATTTTTACACTTCTGTCTGCATTTTTGACTCATTATGCAAATGAGGAGGGACTGTGTCTTAGAGCAGGGGTCTTCAATGTTTTCCAGGCTAAGGATCCTCCAAACTTATGGCGAGATGGTGCAGCGACCCCCTAATTATATATATTGTATAAAAATAGTGTTCTATCAAACTGGTCCTATAGTCACTCTATTACACATGGAGTAATGTAACGAAAGTAATTTCGCCCTGGGATTATTAAAGTATTTCTGATTCCTGGTTGATGGGACAGGTGTTGTGAATGAAACGGTGCCCAGCTTGAAAGAGCTCTGGTGTGTCGCTGAATGTGTGCATTGATGACTGAAAGACATCAGCCTCCATTTATCCATTTACTACAGTGTGTTGAATTCATGTTAATGTTACAGTTTTCTGGAAGTTTTTTCCAGATAAGTGGAGGATAGGAACTAAATGCTGCTTCTCCATGTTTAGTTCTGGTTCTAGGTATGCAGAGCAGGCTGGAGCCAGAAGACTTGAGTGGTCTGGAGGGTTGATACACTGATAGCAAGTCTGTGATGTATTTAGGTGCTAAGCCATTCAGAGATTTATAGACTAACAGAAGTATTTTAAAGTCTATTCTCTGAGATACAGGGAGCCAGTGTAAGGACTTTAGAACCGGGGTGATGTGCTCTACTTTCTTAGTCTTAGTGAGGACATGGGCAGCAGCGTTCTGGATCAGCTGCAGCTGTCTGATCCACTTTTTAGGCAGACCTGTGAAAACACCTTTGCAGTAATCAATTCGACTAAAAATAGCACATATCATCAGAAGAAATAATTTTCATATTACACTGCAAAAACTGATATTAGAAAGTAAAATTGTCTTAAATTAATGCTATTTGCCATTAAACTGAGCAGGTAAATAAGATCCTCTGTCAGAGGAATGAGTATTGTTGCCCTTGAATAAGGTAATGACATATTAACCTCTTGAAATAAGATGACCCCTGTCTAGAACGGCCCATGCTGATACAAGAAAAGAAAACCTTATGTCATAACAAAAAATACTGTCCCACAGCTGTGGCCGAACTAGTTTTTAGGGTTTTACAGGTTAGATTTTATAAAATGAGACTCTGTCAGTAGTTTGATCTGAAACATTTAAGTGTGCCCAAAAATCTGATCGGTGATTTGAACTATTTCACAGCGTCGTAACAATTAAAGGTCTCTATAAAGTTATCATTAAAACCATCTTTGTTTTTGTTTTTTAAATATAGCAGATACCATGAGTATATTTCCTTCTATTCATGGTCTATGCTGATATTTATTGAGCAAAATGGACTAAATTTTAAGCTTCTAAAAGGTATTTTATTTTATTTTTTCTTCTGTGGTTTCCAGCTGTGGTTGGAGCAGGGATAGGAGGCAGCGCCACGGCCCATTTCCTTCGACAACACTTCGGCCCGGAGGTTCAGGTGGACGTCTTCGAGAAGGGCGAGGTCGGAGGCCGTCTGGCCACCGTGACAGTCAACAACAATGAATACGAGTCTGGAGGCTCCATCATTCACTCCCTTAACTTGCACATGCAGGAGTTTGTCAAACAGCTGGGTGAGTTTAGACAAGAGGTAGGAATGGAGGAAGTAGTTTTTGTAAAAATTCTTCTCCTGTCTTCTTATCTCCCCTTTCATTCCTCCGCTCATCCATTTCTATGTTTGTTGCTGAAAGGTTTAAAATATCGGCGGAATGTAGCGGGAAAGACGGCGGTTTTTAACGGCGAAGAGGTGATTTTGGAGGAGACCGACTGGTACCTGTTGGACCTATTCCGCCTGTGGTGGCGCTACGGGATCAGCTTCATACGGCTGCAGATGTGGGTGGAGGAAATTATGGAGAAATTTATGAGGTATGACGGACATTTGAATTTGACTCTTTATTGTGTATTCTAAGTTTCTTCTTTCTAGGTCAAACTCAGAGAAACCAGAGACATTAGTTTGGTGAGTTCTTTAATTTTAGTCTGACATGAACAGGAAATAAGAAGGTCTAACAGTCCAATTTACACTACCCTCCGAAAACCGATCCATGCGAGCCTGAATCAGTTAATAGTGCAGAGCTTGGTTCATTACGGTCATTTACACATCATGCTAGCATGGTACCTCGCCTCCTAGTGACGATCCACGGTATTACTGCTCTAGAGGTAAACAAGCAAATCAACATGGTGGCGCCCGTGACATTCAGGAAGTTTGTTGAGAGTCAGGCGAAAAATGCAGCCTTTGGTGAATTTACTTGACAGAGTCGGCTTTTGGGAAGAGGATACGGCAAACGATAGTCTAATCAGGGCTTTCAGATGCAGGAAACGACGACAGACGTTGAGGTTCATCTCGCTGCTAAGCAGAATCATCACTTTAAATCGTGTGGCACGGTAGAGAAGCTAGTAATGGTATGAATGTCTGAAATTTCATGAATATGGAGGCTGACTGTAAGGAGATGACGCGGTCTGCTCATGCGCTCTTTGTTATCTGAGAACCGAGCTACAACTAAACCGCCCCGAGCCCTACTGATGGAAAAAAAAAAAAAAAAAAGTGGGACGTACAATAAGTGATTATAAAATAAAAACGTTTTTACTTTATCTTTTAATTTGAGCATTTAATTTTTAGACATTTTATTCTTTCCATCTCAAAAAAAAACAACATTAATATGTTACCTGGAAATTGGTGAGGAATCGAAATAAATACAAAATAACATCCTATTATAAACCTATATTTATAAAACTGGAGCTCCTCTAAGTAACTCCCTTATAATTTAAACTTGATGAATTGTGAACAAAAGTTATAGTCAGTCTGACTTAGTTTTATTTGTTTTCATCAAGACACCTGAACTTGCTTTGATGAGGTCCGATAGCTCAGTGTGAAAACGGTTGTTCTCTACATTCAGTCTGTTCCTCTGCTTGGTTTGGATGAGAGTCAAAGCTGAAGGTGAACTCAGATTAAATTTGTTTAGTAAAAAACTTGTTTAATATTTCAATTTGCTCCTCAGAAAGCAAAACAGACCCCAGACCTATTTTATTTTACTACATAAAAATAACATATTTTCATGTACACCTTGCATTCGCTGACCACTAGGGGTACGAGTACCCCCTGGTTGGGAATCACTGAGTTAGAGGAAAAAATAACTGCTAGTTTTACACCGGATAAGAAGACACCGTCCCAACCTTTGTTGCATGATGTCCAATCTACCGTCCCATAATTAAGGGGATGGCACAACTGCAAATCTACTAAGATAAGGATGTCCAGATGCAAGGACAGTTTGGACGATAAGAGCATCAGCCATGAGGGGAATGGTGACCGGATGTGATCAGATGAGGAAAATCTGATGACATGACACCTCTTAGTTGTGTCCTCTAAAAAGCTACCGGCAGAAATGCAAATAAAGGCTTTCAATACCGTTTCTAGATTTGTCAATATCCAGCCGACCATAAAACTGAAAAACCCGTACAGCAAGTGCCTTTGCAGCTGTTATTATGATAAAATCTGGTTTCATAAATTGTTTGCTAAAAATGTGTGGGTGGGGGGAGATGCAAATAGCATTTCAGACTATTATTATATATTTTTTGAGATGTTGAAACCAGCTGTTATTTTCCTTCTATCTCTCAAAATAGCTGATGCTTTCAAAAACGTTTGCAAAGCTTGTATTGCTGTATATATACAGGAAGTGTTTGCATAAAGATTTATTAATAAAGAACTTGTTTGAGCTTTTTTATTCCTAATTTTCTTGTGACAAGTAACAAGTTTCAGTGATTTTGAAGCCAATCCAACCTCCTTTCCAGATCTTTACTTTTTTGTTCTTTTTTTTCATTCCTCTTCTTTATGAAACATTTTGGTACATTTGACAACTGCGTCTCTATTGTGGTCTTTTTTTGCTGTGCCTGAAATATCCACAGCCTTAATCTCTGTAAAGTCTAAACTCCGTGTTACACTTTGAACACGAGGACCTCTTAAATCCATTAAAACATCTGTTTAGCACCATTTAGGAAGCTGATGAAAAGAAATAAATGATAACGATGATGATGATGATAATGAAAAAGCAGCAGAGAGAAGGAGTACAGACACATTGAATTAATAAGAGAGAACTTGTCTTGGCTTGATGTCTGTTTTGAAAGATTACCGTATTTTCACGACCATAAGGCGCACCGTACTAAAAGGTGCAGTCTCAGTTATGTGTGCCATTTCTGTATTTAACAAACACATAAGGTGCACCGGATTATAGGGCGCGGGTTTTATATACCGGTACATATCCTCTACTACGTTTAAATACCTCTACTGCGTATTTAAAAATAGAGCGGGAGCAAAACTGAGTATGATTGTGCTTTATTCATGTATTTATTACAAAGTATTAATCAAACCCATCAAAGTCATCATCCTGTTTCTGAATTAAACAGCTGCGCTAAATCAGACATGCCAATTTCCCCTTCTTTGCTGTCAGAGTCACTTTACGTGCCATGCGGCTCCTCGGAAATGATGCCGGCTTTTGCGAAAGCTTGAACAACGGCGCCAGCAGACACGTTAGCCCAAGCATCAACAATCCATCCAAAAACTGTGGCGTAACTTGCTCGCCGCTGCCTTCCACTTATCCTGAAACTGTGGTCTCCGTCGTTCATCCATCGCTCCCACGCCGCCTGCAGCCTTACTTTGAACGGCCGGTTCACACCGATGTCGAGCGGTTGAAGTTCTTTTGTCAGACCTCCCGGAATAACAGCAATTCTTTTATACACAGTCCACGCCCACACTTCCCCCTTTAACATTCTCATGGCGGTCTCAACAACGTCCGTACTAACAACACACATAGGGCGCGCTGCACATTTTGAGGGGGAAAAAAAGACTTTTATATGCGCCTTATAGTCGCGAAAATACGGTACCTAACCTCACAGTGAAACGGTTTACTCCTGCAGGAAGTATTTTATCTCTCCATTTCTCATTTCTCTCCAAATTTACTCTGAGCTTTCCATCCATTTTGCTCTGCACATAATGATTTATACCAATATTTTAAACATCAATGAAAAGTGCTAACATATATTCCCAAACTGTCTGCTGATTTTTACTTGGCTGTAATCTGTGTCCTGTATAGGATTTATAAATACCAGGCTCACGGCTACACCTTCAGCTCCGTGGAGGAACTCCTGGACTCTCTGGGAGGTAGCGGCTTCATCAACATGACCAGAAGGCCGCTCTCCGATTCGCTGCTGGAGCTGGGCGTGTCGCAGCGTTTCATCGATGAAGTCATCGCTCCCATCATGAGGGTCAACTACGGACAGAATGTCAGCATCCCTGCCTTTGTAGGTCAGCTCAGTGTGAAACAAGAAGGGGGAGGGGGGGTGATGAGCAGGGCAGAAACCGGTGGTGAATTTAGAAATCAATATGACTGAAGCGGCTCCATCTCTGCTGATATAGGTCAGCTCAGAGGGGAGGGAAAGTAGAAGCTGGAAGACGAGTAGAGGAGGAGGTGGCCTTGGGGAGCAGAGGAACAGGAAAGCGTGTAGGCAGCTGATAATTGGTTTATAGCTTTTGGCTTAATTTCCTCTCTGTGTGTTTCAGGCGCCGTTTCTCTGGCTGGTGCCCAGAACAACCTGTGGGCGGTGGAAGGAGGCAACAAGCATGTGTGTCTTGGACTCCTGAAGATGGCTAACGCTAACGTACTGAAGGCACAGGTCACCTCCATTTCCCCTGTCCGCTCAGGTATTTCCTCTCTGATTATTTCAATCCACTAACAGAGTTAAATTTAGACTTTACCGTGTTGCATCATGTTAGGATGCATGAAGTTCAGCCAGGTTGAAATAAACCCATTAGGTTTTCCACTGTAGACAAATCTAATTATTACGTGATGAAACTTAATCACCGGAATTTAAAGTAGCTCAATATATTATGTTCCAAGATGGCAGGTGAGTTTGACAGATTATTTTAATGGTTTCGATGCACTGCGACACAGGACCATGAAATAATTAAATTCACACTGAAATAATTATATATATTTTTTTAATAAAATGAAGACATATTTTATTAAATTAATGACACATTTTTATATTTAATTCCTTATTTAATGAATTACACATTTAATTGTTTATCACTGTATTTATTTATTTAATTGTGGCACTTTATATTAGTGATGTGGTTTTAATTAATGAATGACACATTTATTTATTTAATTCCACATTTAATTAATTATTGACACATTTAATTATTTATTTAATGCTGTATTTATTTATTTAATTTTGGCACTTTTTATCCTCCATAGTTTTGTATTCATCGACAGGGTTTTGGGGTACCTCGGCTAGGGCTGGGTATTGTTCAAAAATTTTCGGTTCCGGTACCAATACCGATACCTTCACTTCGATACCGGTTCCTGAATGATACTTTTTTCGATACCAGTTTTATAATATCAATTCGAAGAAAAATAAAATTACACAACATAAAAAAGTACTAATCTTGAGTTTTATTTTAAGCTCTAATTTTTCCATTTACATTTTTCCTCTTACATAAAAAAAAAAAAAAATTCAGTGTCTAATATTCACTGTTACATTGTGAGGACCTTTTTACTTAGCAGTTTTCCTTTAGAAAAATTACCATGTCTGACAAACAAGCCCGTTGAATGGGATCCTATTGACAGCGCACCGCTGGGATGTGGGGGTCTGAGCGGCTCCGACAGAAATATTGGAAGGCAGGATGAACTGACTGCACTGATTACGTTTTCAGGTGGATTTTCCCACTTAAAAACATAATAAAACTACTTTATTCCCACTGATCACAGCAAATATAGCTGCAAGGCAAAGAAAGGATAGAGTAGCTCCGCCCAACGCGCGTCAGAGGCACTTTTTGCACTGCGCAGCCAGAGCAGCAAAGCTTCTTCAGCCGCGCATCAGAAGCTGGTACAAGCAGCAAAAAAGGAAGCAGCAGACGTGATTTTGCTGCTCCTGCTGCGTCCAGTTTGAAAGCAGCATGATTCACTCCGCTCTGGCTTTGCACTGGCAACGGGCTGCTAAGAGGAGGATGGTTGGGCCGGCTGCGGTCCGCTCTTCTTGCAGTCAAACACCGAGCAACTTTCTGCTCTAAATTGTTTCCGTGCACGATGCATTGCATTGCGCACTATTGCCATCAGTCTTAATAAAGTGAAGCCACACTTTTGACCTGGGGGGCATTTTAAAGGGGTTCCGCGACGCTCGCAACCAGTTCACAACAGATACACATGAACCCTGGCTGTAGGCGGGACCACCTGTGTATTTTTCCTGGATGACGCAATCACGTTAAGTGTTACAGCCAATCACCGAAACTTGGTAACACAAGACGAGGCATGTTTCGATACTCTGTAGAACCGAAGCATCGGTCGGTACCATAAAAGAACCGAAGTTCGGTACCCAGCCCTAACCTCGGCCTATTTGGCCACTCCTCTGATCCGTGTTGAGACCAACACAGGACATTTTCATTAACGGCTTAGGAAAAAAAGTTGTATTCGCACGAGTGTACTCAGCCAAAATGAAGACAGTGTAGTACACCTGCTGGGCCCTTTGGTGGCCCTGTGACACTTTACAGAATCCCACCCCCAAACTGCAAATGAAAGCCCTTGGCATTTGCAGACGGCACATGAGAGGTAAAGCAACAGCAACATGGCGGCAAATGGGTTCAAATTAGAAATTCCCTTTGCTGTTACACCTCATTTTTTCTCCATGGAGACGGGACCTTAGACCCATGTATGGACTCTGAATCAGACAGGATTCAGATGCATCACAGTCCGTTAAATGGCCTCAAAGTATTAAACGTTTATGTCAGCTCTCCCTGGCCCTTCATTTGTTCTACTTTATTTACCTCTAAATTAACAGGGGATATGCTGCAGTACCAGCTGAGCTACTCCAGTGAATCAGGAGCCGGATCGGAGCTGTACGACATCGTTGTTTTGGCGACGCCGCTACAGGCCAGCGTTGGTTCTGGACTTCAGTTCCAAGACTTCGCTCCTCCCCTGGACGAGCTGCCCGGCAGCTATCACGGCACTGTGGCGACAATCGTTCACGGTTACCTCAACACGTCTCTTTTCGGTTTCCCGGACCCCCGCCTGTTCCCTTACGCCAGTGTCCTCACCACTGAGACGGATGGCCTGTTCTTCAACAGCGTGGCCAGCGTCTGTCCCGTCAACATCTCTGCCGGCTTTCGCCGCAAGCAGCCGCAGGAGGCCGGAGTCTACAAGGTGTTTTCGCCTCAGACATTGGACAAGTCTCAACTCAAAACACTCTTCAGGTCAGTCATGTCAGTGGTGGGAAGTAATACTTTATATAAGTAATACATATCCTTCCTGCTTCATTTTCTTCCTCCTAAATTTTTGCTCCTCATCTTACACTCCTAACGTCTTGCTGTGTTCTTGTGTCTGCCTGTATTTCCTGTGGTTTCTCACTTACAGATTTTTGTCACACTTTAATATTTCAGATGACTGTTTACAGATAAGACTAACTTCAAGAAGCAAGAAGGTTACGAGTTTGATTCCCAGACCTGGGTCTTTCTACATGGAGTTTGCATGTTCTCCCTGTGCATGCATGGGTTCTCTCCGGGTACTCCGGCTTCCTCTCACAGTCCAAAAACATGACTGTTAGGTTGTGTGTGCGTGAATGGTTGTTTGATCTGCTTCTCTGTGTTGCCCTGCATTAGACTGGCCATCTGTCCAGGGTGTACCCTGCCTCTTGCCCGTAGATAGCTGGAGACTTGTCAACCTTTTGCGACCCCACCAGGGATAAGCATGACGGAAAATGGATGGGTGGAAAAATATTTGTCCTCGCTCAGAGATCATTTTTTGAGCCTCCCTTATCACCAACAACTGTTTTGCTTCACTTTAAAAGGGGTTTTAGCCCTAAAGTGTTCCTTCCATTCAACTCCATGGATGCTTATCAAGCATGAATTTCCTGTTCAGCTCGAATACAGGTTTTGCAGCTAACAGATTCATAATTATGTTTTATTTGTAAATTGCATCTTAACTAGATTAACTCCAGACTCTGTCTAAGCGATTCAGAACTGGACTTGCTGGTTTGCATCTGGCCTTTATCCTAGCCGTCTTTGGACCTTTAACCTTCAGGATTCTCTGCTTATATCAATGAAATCAAGGAATGCTGTTAGTTTAACTCATAGTAAAACATAAAACCCACCTTACAGAGGTTCGACTTTTTCCTCGTTCGACCACAGAATATTTCCCCCAAGTATCTTGGAAATCGTGGGGCTTTCATGGTGACTATGAAGTTTTTAATTCTATTGGTCAGCAGTGTTTTTTTTTTCTCAGGCTTGTTGTTGCTGCCCATTCTCCTAGGTATTACTGAGTAATAAACTCTGACCTCAACATTTAAAACTGGTTCATGTTTTCTTTTTATCCATTTGTAAAGAAAGGAAATGAGAACCAACTGTTACAGTCTTATTTCTGTATTGCGAGCCTACTTTATGTTTTTCCGACATGTTTATTAAAGTCCATCCATTAATGTCTCTATAAACATCCATCATCATCATCCACCTCCGTTAGGGTCGTAGTGGGGGCGGTGCCTACTTCTGGCAGTCTATGGGCAAAGGTGGGGTACAACCTCGACCGCTTGCCAGTCTGTCTCGTTGTAACACATTGACATACAACCATGCAAACACACATTGGGACAATTTAGAGATAAAAATTAACTCTAACAGTCGTGTTTTTAGACTGTGGGAGGAAGCTGGAGTACCCTGAGAAGAACCAACGCATGCATGGGGAGAACATGTAACCTTCATGCTGAAAACGATCCATTATGCCACTTTGTAGCAGAGAAGAAAACATTAAAAATCCTAATTTTGCTCTGGTTGAATTAAAATTTGTCTGTGGATCTGAAATGCTTGGGTGGGGCAAATAAAGAGACAACCAGGAGAAATTTGTACAAAGGCAGATACCTTTCACACTATATATATATATATATATATATATATATATATAAAATGCTGTGCTTTAGTGGGATCTGAACATTGCTTTTCTGCCCCTTTAAACTGTAGGTCGTACTATTCAGCCCAGGTGACGGAGTGGCAGGCCTACCCTCACTACGGCAGCAGCCAGGGGCTGCCGCCTATAGAGCTGCACCCCAATCTCTATTACCTCAATGGCATCGAGTGGGCCGGCAGTGCCATGGAGATGAGCTCAGTGGCGGCCAAGAACATCGCCCTGCTGGCCTACCACCGTTGGAACAAACAGTCGGACATGGTGGACCAGAAAGATCTCATGCATAGAATCAAAACTGAGCTCTGATCCTCTGAAATCTGCTGTAAACATCTTTTTTTGTTCTTGCTTTTTTTTGTGGGAGGGGACCAGAAAAGTGTTTGATAAGATGGTGATACAAGCGTACAGAAAAGCCTCAGCCTTTTTTTTTAGAGGATATAAAGGAACTTGACCTAGTTTCTAAATAAAAGTATAAATATGATTTGTCATAAATAAAACTCATGTATTGGACTATTTTAAAGCGAACCTAAAACCCAATGATTTGGATTCCTGTTTTACAATAGCTACAAATATTACAGAGGAGAGCTGATGCAGAGGCTGTACCACGAAGCGAGCGCAACATAGCCAGGTTACTTCCAGCCTATCCAGTTTAACTAATCCACAACAATGGCAATCAGGATCAGCGGTACCAAGAAGCTGGTTACCAACTCTAACTAGACCAAGCTAGAGCTGATCATGAACCTCTGAACGTGCATGGATAAAGGGGCAGGTTCGAGGTAGCGGACAATCATGATCATAGAAGGGAGAGCTCCATAGTTCTTCTGTGAGGACCAAAAACCCATCTTACAGAAATAAGGGGCGGGGTCTCAATGAAAGTTCAAACAGGGTGGCGGCATGAAAGAGACGCCACATATCGTGGCAAAGGATTGCTGCCTGCTTAAAGGTATAGTGGAGGATTTTCGTGAATTTTTGAAAAGACCTGCCCTCTCCACTTAAAAAAAAGAAGTAGAAACTTAACATGCACAACCCTGTACCCACTCCTGAGAAGGAAATCTTATTAAACACTTCTCCTCGTGCACTCTCCGTTTAAAAGTTGTTTGCATAACTCATAAAAGCTTACTTTCCAAAAGAAGATTTGCAATTTTTCCACTATGTCAGGCTCACCACCAGTAAGTGAAAATTCGACGAGCACGTAGGACGGCCTTACGTAAACATATCAGCAGAATGATTGACAATTAGGAGGACCACTTATTTAGATGATCCACCCAGAAATAAAAGATCGTCCTTTATACCTTTAAATGCAAAAGTTACACATCAGTGATGTTTAATAGCCTGCATCCCAATCAGTCTGCTGCATATTAATAATTTGCCCCTCAGGAGTCAAGAGGACTTGAATTACCTCAATGTCTTTTCTACTTGAATGAAACTTCTTAGTATTTCTGTTTCAGTCTGATACAGACTCTCTGTGCATGATCAATGTTAAATTACACAGAAACATTACAGAATAGTAAATGGTTGGTGTCAAAAAGGAGGCAAAATAAATGAATTAATTAAAAACTTCAATTTGTCAAGAACATATTTTAAAGTTTCTTTATTAAGATATTGTTGTGTTGAAGTTATTTTTTCCCCTCTGAATTAAATCGGGTCTTCAATGAAAGGAGACGTCATTGTTTCCCAAACAGCTGATTGGCTCCTGGATAGAACTTTTTCTAGAATTCAGATCCTTCCTCAAAGCTTGCAGTTCAGAGTATGTTACCATGGTGACTAGCCTCGTTAATAATGAATCCAGCTTTGTGGTACCGGGAAGTCAGGGTTAAACCTGAAGTCTTTGCTAAGCCATTAATCCTGCTTCGTGGTACAGGCCTGATTGGACAGTTTTGTTTTTTTCCCCCTTTTTTTAAATAAAAATTATCCACCTAGTATATAATAATCCATTAACTAACTGGATTGTTGGACTGTTACCTTCATTTGGACGAGTGGTGAAAGGACATTAAATACCTGTAAGGGTATAGATACTGCAGTTGCATATAGATTATCTTTTTTTTACTTTAGAAAATGTGGCTGGTTTACATTTAATGGTCCAATGATCTTAGCACATTAGAATATGATTGGAAGTTTTATTTATTTCAGAAATGTAAGTAAGAACAGTGAAAGTACATGTTGATATACTTTAATGGTTTGTTTGTTTTACTGCGGATTATTTGTACATACATTTTCAGTCGATTGGAGCAGGAAGTTGGCAAAAATGTTCTGGAAAATGGCTGCAATTACCTTGGACTTGATATAGGAAACAGTGGCCCATCATCACCAGCAGGTGACACGGTACCCAGAAGAACCATCACTGTCTGGAAAATCTTCACATTGGACCTCAAGTGTCTTGGATTATGTGCCTCTCCAATGTTCCATTATTTCTGAATGAAATACAAATTTACTTTGAATGGTAAACTCTGTCCGCTAAGTTACGGTCCCGTTATTTATTTATTTACAGCCCAGATAAGACCCTGTGGGTGCCATCTCTGGTTCAGAAGTGGTTTAAAGCTAGATAACAAACTGCTGTAGTCCATGCTCTGGATAAATCTGTGTGGTAGCTTGCAAAATACTGACTGCAAAATCGAAAAATCCTTAATCTTAAATAACCTTTACTTTCCAGACCTCTCAAGGTTGCAGCTATTCCTGTCAGTGCATCACATCTATCACACTTTTTCCTTCTACTAAGCTTTCCATGATGATGCAGCGATAAAACACTGAGATAATGGCCTTTTTAGCTTGCTTACTCTGCCTTTGGAGGTATTTGACTTTGTTCTGGAAAAGTCAGCAGTCTTCCCTATGAATGATGTCAAGCATAATTGTCTGTTATGCTGCATGTCCTTTTATTCTGTTATGTAATATTTCAATCTGAGTAAAAGAATTTGGGATTTCCGTTGGCTGCAATTGCAAATGGATAGAAATAAACCCTCCCAATACATTACTGTGATAAATCTTTATACTAGAAGACATTAACTTTCCTTGAGATAATTAATAATGTAATATGTTTTTTGTTAATTAAACTACAGCTTTGCACTGACTTTATCGTAGTGAACCCTGGTGTTTTGCTCTACCCCCACTCCATTAGACTTTCTTTTTTTTTTAAAGGACCCCTCTGTCCTGTATGCTGTGGTTGCATAATCAAGTGGAAAAGTGTGTTCAGGGAGTGGAGCCAGCCGGCTTTCACTCTGGACAGATAACAAAGCAGAGGAGAGATCTGCCGTCTGTGATAATTAGGACGCATTTTCCTCCTCTCAAAAATGAGAGCCTTACTGAGCACATCGATGGGTCACCTGTAGAAATGTAAAGCTGCAGAGGGATATTGTTTTTGGATTTGGGTTGGAAATGTCAAAGGACAAGATTTTACAGAACTTGGAAAAGTCTGATCTTCTGATTCATCATCTGAACATCTTGTGACTTATAGCGTCTTTGTTGATTAATAAAGGGTTTTTTTTGTACTGTGGATGGTAACTTGATTTATCTCCTACGAAATGAATTTTTTTCATATTGCATCAGACTGAAGAACTGCTGAGTTTTAACTTTTAATTTACAAAAAAGCAACAAGAATCTGGAAGTGGAGAACTGCAGGAAGTCAGTTGAACTCTCTGGTTGGTCTGAGGGGAGAAATCAGACTGATCAGGAAGGAGATGGTTGATGACAACTGATGACTGATTTATTTGCTTACTTAAGAGATAAAGGAGAGGTAATATGGATCTGTAGGAATTTGATTCAGCAGGCTTTGCAGACTGAACCCCAGAGGTCCAGGAGAAGGTGAGTGAGATCTGAGAGCGTTGCTACTTGCAAGAGACGTCGTGCTGAAGAGCAGGAAGGCAGGTGGTGAAGACTGAGAACTGCTGCACACACAGATATGACCTTTTCCATGAAGATCGGAGAAGAACAGGTTCACTGGTTGCCTGGAACAATAACAGGGTCCGCATTAAAAGAGAGTCACAAGAAGACAAATTTCAACAAGATATTCCTGGTTTAGGTCCTTACCTAGACTACCATAAGGCTAATCATCCAGTGACGATAGATGATCCTTTGCCTCCTTATATACAGGTGCTGGTCATAAAATTAGAATATCATGAAAAAGTAGATTGATTTCAGTAATTCCATTTAAAAAGTGAAACTTGTATATTATATTCATACATTACATACAAACTCATATATTTCAGATGTTTATTTTGTTTAATTTTGATGATTACAAATGACAACAAATGAAAATCTCAAATTCATCATATCAGAAAATTAGAATATTACTGAAGACCAATAAAAACAAAGGATTTATAGAAATGTTGGCCAACTGAAAAGTATGAACATGAAAAGTATGAGCATGTACAGCACTCAGTATTTAGTTGGGCCTCCTTTGGCCTGTATTACTGCAGCAATGCGGCGTGGCATGGAGTCGATCAGTCTGTGGCACTGCTCAGGTGTTATGATAGCCCAGGTTGCTCTAATAGTGGCTTTTAGCTCTTCTGAATTGTTGGGTCTGGTGTATTGCATCTTCTTCTTCACAATACCCCATAGATTTTCTATGGGGTTAAGGTCAGGAGAGTTTGCTGGCCAATTAAGAACAGGGATACCATGGTCCTTCAACCAGGTACTGGTAGTTTTGGCACTGTGTGCAGGTGCCAAGTCCTGTTGGAAAATGAAATCTGCATCTCCAAAAAGTTGGTCAGCTGCAGGAAGCATGAAGTGCTCTAAAACTTCCTGGTATGTGGCTGCGTTGACCCTGGACCTCAGAAAACACAATGGACCAACACCAGCAGATGACATGGCACCCCAAACCATCACTGACTGTGGAAACTTTACACTGGACTTCAAGCAACGTGGATGAAGTGCCTCTCTTCTTTTCCTCCAGACTCTGGGACCTTGATTTCCAAAGGAAATGCAAAATTTACTTTCATCAGAGAACATGACTTTGGACCACTCACCAGCAGTCCAGTCCTGTTTCTCTTTAGCCCAGGCAAGACGCTTCTGACGCTGTCTGTGGTTCAAGAGTGGCTTGACACAAGGAATGCGACAGCAGAAACCCATGTCTTTTATACGTCTGTGTGTGGTGGTTCTTGAAGCACTCACTCCAGCTGCAGTCCACTCTTTGTGAATCTCCCCCACATTTTTGAATGGGTTTTGTTTCACAATCCTCTCCAGGGTGCGGTTATCTCTCTTGCTTGTACACTTTTTTCGACCACATCTTTTCCTTCCCTTCGCCTCTCTATTAATGTGCTTGGACACTGAGCTCTGTGAACAGCCAGCCTCTTTAGCGATGACCTTTTGTGTCTTGCCCTCCTTGTGCAAGGTGTCGATGGTCGTCTTTTGGACAACTGTCAAGTCAGCAGTCTTCCCCATGATTGTGTAGCCTATAGAACTAGACTGAAAGACCATTTAAAGGCTTTTTCAGGTGGTTTGAGTTAATTAGCTGATTAGAGTGTGGCACCAGGGGCCATCAATTTTGAACCTTTTCACAATATTCTAATTTTCTGATATGATGAATTTGAGATTTTCATTTGTTGTCATTTGTAATCATCAAAATTAAACAAAATAAACATCTGAAATATATGAGTTTGTTTGTAATGTATGAATATAATATACAAGTTTCACTTTTTAAATGGAATTACTGAAATCAATCTACTTTTTCCTGATATTCTAATTTTATGACCAGCACCTGTACATGCTGCTCATCTTGATTGAGAAATGCTCCAAGGTGTGCAGCAACAAGGTTTGGCCCCGCCACCAACCAAGATCCTCTCTGTGACATGGAGCTCACTCACATCAGAAAAACAGCAAAACCCCAGAGACTCTAAGAGGCCTTTTTGGTTTTCATTCCCCTCCTCTGTCTGCTTCAGTTAAACTTTCAAGATAGATATAATCATAGCAGCAATGTCTCACTTTAACGTGTGAAAATATGGCAGCTTCCTGAGGGATCATGTTGGGGTTATCTATCTTGAACTTATAGCTTTTATCTTTGTATTTCTTCCTTCCTTAACCCAGACTAGTTGACTGGTTAAAAGAGAGAGCTGTTCTGAAATGCCTGCAAGAGAAACAACATACCCCCCCACCCCCGTCCTTAAAAAAAGCAGTAAAACATGGAATGAAACTAAAACTTTCTGCAGCTCGTAGGTATATAAGTGAAAAAGACTCATCATATTTAATTTATTGATGGATGAAAATGTTGACATTTTGTCACATTGAAGCCACAAACCTCTGGGGTCTTTCTTAAATAAGGGCACAAATGTGAACAGTGAAGGAAATGCTACAGGTTTAATTTTTCCACATAAAACTGAAAAAAGTGTCATACGTTTGTTTAACAGTAGGGAGCTTTGATCAAGCTTTTTTTTTACTACTTTTCAGGTTTTTTTTTTTTTTTTATTCATTCTTTTGCAAAAATCTTACACTCAGTCTGGGTCAATTCTTGTCACGGTTTTCTAATTATGATTTAATCTGACTTGGTTTGAGCCATTCTAATGTATTAATATGCCTTCATTCTATCCACTCCATTCAAACTCTTCAAGTTTTTTTCTCAACTTCAATCTAAATCAGTTTTCAGCCTCTAGCAGACATTCCTCCATGGTTTTCTTACATTTAACTCTATCTATCCCCATCTATCCTTCAGGTTCACTGTCTCTGCTGAAGATAAACATCCTGGCAGTACTTTTGATTTCACCTACATGTTTTATCATCAACATGCACACACAGAGTGTTTGCATGTGAGCAGAATAAGATTATTTGCTCCCAGTTTAAAAGAGCTCCTGCTCCACTTGTTTTTTCTCAAAGAGCGCAAAGATAACATAGGATTTTCCCACCTGAGCTGTGGATCCCTGCAGCTCCTCCAGAGTTATAATTGATCTCGTGGCTGCTTCTCTTATCACTACTCACCCAGTCGATAAACTCTAAGCAGCTTGGCTGTGTTGATGACAAAAAGCTTCCACAGGGTTGGTGTGTTCAGAAAAATTGTTTTCCCACAATTATGGATTGTTAAAGTGGTGTGAATAATTTTGCAAGCAAATTGGGCCTGGCGAGAATAGTATTAGTCCCTAACATGGTGCCTTAGAAAAAGTAGAACAGATTTAAATGATATGCTCACCTATTCAACATTTAATGGCTGTACAAGCCACAGAACATATCTATTGCTATGACAAATTTCCGTTTAATTGTTAATAAAATTGATTAATTTATGAGTATTTAGTATTTTGAGTAAAGATTATTCAAGATTCATGTTTTGTTACAAGAAAATAACTTAACCGGGGTTTAATTGGTAGCAGCCCAGCATGATAGGGGGGAAAAAAAAAAAGGAAAGCTTTTGATTCTTGAGAAGTCCCATTTCAGCGCCAGCTCTAAATTTCCACAGAACTCGCACACATGCTGAGTTTTTCAATATTTTATTTATTACCTCTCAATATGATCTCTTCATACTTAGCAGGCTGCGACATGAATGTTAAAACATCTAAATACTAGAGCGAAAGGACAGACCTCATATTTAAACTCTTGATCGTTAAGGAATTGTACTAAAAGCAACGTATACATTTCTGAATTTGTCCATTTGAAGAAAAAATAGCTGTCAGTAAGTTTTCTATGTATTCCCTTCTCTTTCGACTTTTTTTTGTATGATGCAACACTGAAAAAGCCTACTTTCTGTTGATTTTAAACCTTTATCACAAATTAACATAAGAAAAATATATTTTAGGTCTTTAAGCTTCAAAAGTAAATCACAATGTAATAAAAAAAAAGTATTATTCACCCTTCTTATAACTGAAATAAAACCTGAATTAAAATAATTAACTGAATTAAAATGTGAATAATTTTCAAATCACTTCAAAATTTGAAGCCAAGAACTTAAAAGGGATATATATGTATATATATATAATTGATGAGGAATATGTTACTGCTGGTTATCTTCAGTGAGTCTACTTTACGGAAAGTGAGAGCAAGCTTTCACCTCTGACTTTGGCAGAAAGAACAAAAACAATCAAAAAGCTCAAACATTTATTTCAGTTTCAGATTCACTCAGACATTGACTCATGAACAGTCATCCGCCCCTCTGAGGCAAACAGGGGACTTGGTAAGAGGAGACGCTTACCTAAACAAATACAAAGAATGACTTTAGACTTTAATTAATGCATTTCATGATGAATTGTTAAGTTTGATTATGTATTTCCCTGCAATAGACCGGCAGCCTGTCCAGGGTGTACCTCGCCTTTCACCCATAGACCGCAGGAGATAAGCACCAGCCCCACCGGGACCCTGACGGAGTGGAAGAAGACGGATGGATGGATTTTTTCATTCAATACTTTTTCAACAAATCAAGGTATTTTGTTTGAATTAGTTGAAATCAAAATATTTTGTTATAAACATTGTAAATAATTACTTTTTATATCTACACTTTCACATGTTCACTTAATAGGATCCAGTTTTTTAGTTATTTAACAACTTATCCTGATGAGCCTCAATAATCCAGGTACAAAGATCCAAAAAATACTTGTTATTCTTCTGTAAAAGGTTTTTCAAAGACAAAAGATCCATCCAAAGGGCTAACTTCACTTTTTCTGATCCTAGGAAATAGTTACATAATTATACTCCTGAACCAATTGATTGGGTTAATTGTAATTAATGGGTTACTGAAAATAACTGTCTACTGATTAGGTAATCAAAAGGAACTAAGTGGAGTCTACAGACTCTGAGACATGCCCTTCGATGAGAAGGTTAGACACTAATAGTAATTATGCTCCAACAAAAAAAAAAAGATGTAAGTTAAAAAAGCATCTTTGTCTGTAAATACATTCTATCCTGAACTCCCCCAGTCAAACTTTGAGATTAATGTGGCTCCAAACTAAAACTGTAAAAATACTCCAATAAGCAATTTTTTCTACCTGATTATGAAATCTACAAATAGATCTTAGTAGCTGCAGCTCTCTATGATTATATATTCTTTTTCTAAGTAAAGTAAAAATTACTCACATGTTCACCCAAACACATGTAATACATTATTTTTGTATCATGTTATTTATTTTTCAAAGATGATTAATCATTTGATTTATCATGTTACTGTATAACTGCAGTTTCATGTTTAGAAATAATGACAATAATTACTTCTATTACAGCTTACTGCCTTCATAATGAGGAGATATGGGTTGATTTCTAAACTTTCTTGATATTTATTTATTACATACATATTAAACTATTGATTTATTATTTTCCACGTTGCATTATTGGTCCTCCGTATTGGAAGTCTTTGTTAGGATTCCTTTACAGAAACTGAATGAGTAAATCTGAAACTGAAAATACTGCTTTGGCCCATTTCCCCCCCTTTTCTGCCTTTAAAAGGTTAAACCCTACATTCACATGTGATTTTAATGTTTTATATTTGTTTAGATTACTATATAATCTTCACCCTGAAATGTAAATCTACATTTGACACATTTCTTAGTTTCATTTTTCAAGAAAATGAAAGGGGAGGGGTTATTATCAAAAGCAGAGTAATGCTTCACAGAATTTAAAATACGAAGTCATATATAAGACTGTTTGGTAACAAAATAGAAATATATGAGAGATAAATTGGAATTCTGATAATTAAATAGCAAAACCATTACAGTAATGAATGTCTAAGAAAACAAAACGGCCTTCCTACTTTAAACCACATTCCGTAATTTATCTCTACTCTGCGGAAGAGGATTAGGGCCACTGAAAAAAATAAAAAAGTTAACTGATTTTAAAATATTATTTCAGTTTAATATAGGAAAAAATGTCAGATTTCTGACTTTAATCTCAGAATTCTGACTGAAATCTGACAGATAACAAACATGTTAACATCAAGTTGCAGCCATGTTTGTTTCAGAGACTAGCTCTCTTGTTTTAATCACCTTTTGCTCTTCCATTAATGAAATAGCATCGCTGGGGACTCCTCGGGCACTTAAAAAGTTGCCTAATTTTTCCTCAATGTGTTACTGGCTCTCCCAAAAAACTCACATCTTTGTCAGTAAAGCTGAGGGCTCCCACATCTCTTCCTTCATGGTGCCCATGTATATTAAGATCCAGAATTCTGAGATTAAAGTCAGAATTCTGAGAAAAAAAGTCAGTATTCTGAGATTAAAGTCAGAATTTTAAGAAAAAAAGTCAGAATTCTTGGGGAAAAAAGTCAGTATTCTGAGATAAAAGTCAGAATTTTAGGAAAAAAAGTCAGAATTCTGAGAAAAAAGCCAGAATTCTGAGATTAAAGTCAGAATTATGACTTTTATTCTCATATTATACTGAAATAAAATTTAAAAATCAGTTAACTTTTTTTTGTTTTTTTTTTCAGTGGCCCTAACCCTCTTCCGTACTGCTCTCTACAATTCTTCTTCATAACTTTGTAAATGAAAACTAAAAAGATATTTAGAAGGTGTTTTCCTCCAGCTAGGAGCTGCCCCCCTATTGGTTGATGAGCAGACCACGTGGATCGGAGAGTCACGCGTTTTCCAGAAACCCGTCAGGAAGGAGAAAAACAAAACAAACCCGAGAGAGCTGTTAAACCGTGTGTACTCCAATTGGAAATGGAAATATCTTTTTAATCAACAGTTTAACTCAAACACGGACATCTGGCAACGGGAGTGACGTATGCACGGGAGTCTTAAAAGTAAGTAGGACCGATTGTGGTGCGTTTAATGACCCTGAAGTGAGTGTTTCTGTCGCGTTAGCTTCGTTAGCTCCGAAGCTAGCTGGCTCTGGTGCTTGAGTGTCGGGCTACAGCTGGGATGAGGAAGGGACGGAAGGAGGCCATTAATGACCGAGTTGCAGCTGAAAAATAACATTATTTGTGATTTCGGCTTTATAACATTCAATTGAATGCAACGGAACGAGCTTAGAATGGCTATTTTATCAGCTTTTGGCAGTTTATCGACGAGCAGCTAGCTCGTATACCTAGCTGATATAAACGTCGGTCAGGAGGCTCTTTAACGCACACCGAGGCGAGATCCTGCTGGTTTGCTGTCATCAAGCACCCAAAACAGCTGATTATGTGTCATTATTTGTAGAAAAATAAAAACAAAACAAACTGTTATGTAAGCAGGCTGCACTGTCAAAATAGTAAATCTCATTACTTTTGCCTATTTCTAATATATTTCCGGAATACGTGCAGTTAAACAATGAAATAGTTGTGTAATTGTGGTAGGAAAAGCCTGGCTTTACAGCCTCAGGTCTCCCTGGGTACACGCCCCCCACCCAACCCCCCCAACACCAAACAGAGAAAAGCTCGGCTGTTTCATGTGATTTAAACTCTAATACACTTCGATAGCATATATTAAGCGTCTCACTCTCCAATTTATTGTTTTTATACCTAGTAAAAGTATTTTTGGGCTTTCTATCCACCGTAATAATTAGTATGTTTTTGTTTTCTGGGGGGAAAAAACGACCGTTCATGAAATATTATTATTTTCAAGATGGCGATTTTCTTATTTGTGTGATTAGATTGAAATATTTGATTAATACTAATATGTAGGGCACGGGGATGCAGGCCTCCTAGTTGTTTATCTTCTGCTTCAACCTAGATTGAAACAAGCTGTTTATGATGAAGCAGCTTCTGTGATTGACGATTGAGGCGTCCAATCAGACGCTTGCGGAGGCGGACCCTGGTGTCGGTTTAGCCAATAGGAATGCAAGATTACGTGGGTGTTGGCAGAGGCTGTTAGATTGAGGTTTTGTTTTGCTTCTGTGATGGGTGCAGAGAACTGGCGAGACACTTGTGACTTTATGGCTTTACTGGGGGGATAATATGGGTCATATTTGTAATACACGTCATCGTGTTATGCAATAGTACTTTTGAAACCTAAAAAAACGCTTCAACTTTATGGTTTTGCTTTAAGGAAAACGTATGTTTGTGATTTTCCACTGACAGCGTGGTTTGCCTCAACAGGATTTGGATACATGCAAAGCTCAGTGTCCTTTCATCAGCAATGTCTGAGGTAAATTGAAACATGCATTCCCTCTTTGTTATGTTAAAGATAATGTCCTTATTATTGATGCTATTAAAAAAAAAATCCTTATTCAGCAATGAGTTTTTCTCAGAAGATTCTCATCAACATATTTGCGTTATACCTTTATAATAAAACGCAAAATATGATTTGATTCCTGTAATGTTAAGCTGAAAATGAGCAATTATTAAAATAAAACAATATAACAGCACAGTTCTTACAGGTATAATTATTGTACAAAGTATAGTTTTTCTGCTCTCTACAGATGGACATAAATATAACGAGCTGATTTTAGGCAGTTATTTAATCATGCTGTCCATCCTGAATAAAGACTGTAGAAGTAAGCTAGTTATTATTTGAAAACAGCATGAATAGGAAAGGGCTGTGTGTGAAGGAAAAGACCTTGATAGAGTTAGCAGTGTTTACTTCAGTTTAAATGGGAACAATTAACAGATAATTTCTATATATTTATGTCAAAATGTTTTTTGTCTGTCTAATGTGTATAAAAGAATAAGTATCAATATGCATGGTTTTATCTCAAGTGTTAGGGTGGTGGTTTGTATTATGTTAAAAAATTGGATGAATCATATATTTTTTTTTTTTTTTGTAGAGGTTTCCTGAACACACCTGGTCCCTAGCCAATTGATTGCCATAGTTGTTATTCATACAGGTGCTTATAAACTAGAGTCACATGACAACCACATATTTATTTTTGTTACACATTTTAGTAGGGCTGCAACTACCGATTATTTTGCAAATTGATTAATCTGTCCATTATTTTTTTCCGATTAATCGATTAATAATCGGATAGAGCATATTGACAGACTAAAAAATCTGAACATAATTGTAAAATGTTTTTTTATTTTTTTTATTTTTACCACTCTAAGTGGGTTGCTCTGGTGGAGTCTCTATACTCCAGTTAAGGATTAATTGATTACTAAATTAGTTTTAGATTATTTCAACAATCGATTAATCATGACTAATCCTATTTATTGTTTCAGCTCTACATTTTACTAAAGGTTCCGAGGTCAGTTTTAACCTGACTCTTAAAGCTTACTCCTCTGTTTGACAGGGTTTAAACCTTTTGTATTCTATATTTTAATTTTAGTTTATCATTAGCTGTGTTGTTCCTCGCCGACCTAAATTCTGAAGCATTTAAGTCTTCACCCTCCTCTCTTTCTGTGCAGTATTTAAATCATTCAGATAAAACAAGCAAACATTGAGAACCCTCTCAGCAGGAAAAGCTCAAGTGGTTTGCTTTCAGAGATTATTACACTGTTGTGCAGCAATTATCCGGGGAATTAGGTGCGGCTATTTTTGACACAATTAAAGATCCTTTAAAAAAAAGAAAAAAATAATAAGTTTGCTCAACCTTTCATCATTTTAAACCAAATCACTTGAACCAAAATGAGGCCATTACCTTGTGTGTGGCTCTGTGAGTTTTTAAGGCTCTCATTCTCTATTTGAAGATTTGTCAGTGAGCTGCTGGTGACTAGATTCACACATCTGATTAAAAAAAAAGTGCAGCAGCGAGTAATAGCAGTCTGTTATAATGGTTTGCTGTCTCTAAGTGCTGAAGCAGGACACTTTTAACAAGGTCTTATTTTGTAATGCAGCCCAGAGTATTAACTGGAGCCATCATAAAGTATTCTATTTATGTCTCTTTTTTTGCTTTTTCTTTTTATACTCAGAAAACTGAATGTTATAACTTATTATTAGTGTAAATGCTGTATTTTGTCAAGACCCTCAAACCGCTATGTTTGTAATCAAGAGTATGTTATCCTGGGAATCTAATATCATCCCAAGCCTTGTCATTACAAAATACTAGTATGTAGGATGGATGGATTAGGATGGATATTAGGATGCTTCCGTCAGACTTAATGATTGATTTTCATTCTCTTTCTGGTGAAAATGTAACAAGCAGATCTTAAAAGTGGGAGGAAGGTTCCTTCATTCAGATAGTGGATTTAAATCCAATGGAAAACCGCAATATTCCTTAAAGCTTATGCATGTCCTCTAACCTTTGTTTACATTTTTTTAACTTGACCCAAAAAGCTATCATGTCTTTTAAATGACAACTGAACCCTTGACACACCTCATTTTTTTAAAGGTGTGCTTTTTCATTGATGTGGGTTATATTGTATGCTGCTCACTTTTAAAAGGGTTGAGTATGAAGGAAGGATGATGATGCCAAATGGACTAATTTCTGAACCACTGACCGTGGTAGTAAATTGCTAACCTCCGTCTGCTCACACCAGCAACTCAACAAAACGAGCAATGAAAATCCCTACCCTTTTGGGACAATCGGCTGTTACTTAGCGTCTATTTCAGTCTGTTGCCACGCTGTCCAAACACATTGGGGGCTTGTGGATTAACAACCTTTTGTGATGTGCGCTCTCGCATGTCCTCTTTCATAAACGGGCTGCTATCTCAGGCTTGTTATTTCTGCTGTAATCATCTGCGGGTAACTCATTCCAGAGAAGATACTGCTGATTGGCCTACTTGAATCACATCCAGTGTTGTGAGGCAAAGAATATCACCTTTTTGCATGAAGGGAGATATGAGCAGAGCACAGCATGCTGACTTTTCATTTGATGCTACATAGGAACCAGGTCAGGTTATTAGAAGTGCTTCAAAAAAAGATTGTATTACACCTTGAACCTTTCACAGATTTTGATGTGACAGCCGCAGCTCTGCTTTCAGTGATGGAACCATAGTAGTGTGAAGATAAGAGGTGTGTGTTTGTACATAGTAGCTCTTAGTTAAAACATACTGCCTTATTTTGTTATTTTTTTTTGTTGTGCTGTTTCTACTCGATTTGCATATCTAGAAACTGAAATGATCCCAATTATTCTCTGCAAAACAGCTTGATTAGATTTAATGATTGTGAACCTCAGTTTTCATCTTCTGTTGCTCATTGTTAACTGTATATTGCCGTGGTCTTTGACTAGGCCATTTGACACGAGTATATTTTGGGTTCAACTATTTGGCTACAGCGTTGTCTTTGTGTTTAAGGTATTGTATAGGTAGAGTTTAACTTTTTGTACTTGCTAGCAACCTCTCTTCCCACATTGTCCATTATTTAGCTCCATTCGTCCACCTATCAGCTAACTAGCTGTTTTGTTGGTGTTAAAGAAGAGCTACAAAATAACGCTACTGCCGCTTTGTTTCATGGTGAGTTTGGTGTGTACGTTAACTTAACTGACACACATAGCATTTTATATGTACAACCAGAAGGTTTGGTTGTTCTCGCCTGATTTTAGCAGCTTTTCACAGTTTTTACCCCCAACATGTTTTTTGGCAAACAGGACTTTTCATGGCTCTTCTTTAAATGATGGATTTCTTTAAGCAGCTTCTTTATAATGGCAAGATTTAGCTTCTTTATAATGCAGCTTACCCAGAGTTTCCATAGACCTGTTAGCTACTTTAATGTATGTCCTTGCCAAGCCTTTCAGATCAGGTAGATGTTTATTTCTCTTTCTGTCTTCATATGATCCACTGAACAGCCTTGTGAGATGTTTAAATTTGGGGAAAGTGTTTTAAAGCTGCTTCAAAGACTTGCCCCAAACATTACCTCCGACTTTGCCTTGTCATCATTTCTTTCCTCTCAAATAAATTTGGAAAACCATTTATCAAGCGCATCCCACATCCTCATCATGAACTTCTTTGTTTGAGTCTATAACACACAACCATAACAAATATGCTCGTGTTTGTGGAAATCAAATTTTCCACAGGAAGTTGTGATGAAAAACCGATTTAAAAAAAGCTTCATCTGTGACCAGTCATGCCAAGGTTCATTACAGAGGGATCAATGTCTGATGGTGTATTTTGCTTTTGATTGAATGCTTAAAATCTAAGCAGCTGCTGTTAAGCCATGCAGTGTTAGGTAATTATTTCTACAGTGCTGTAAAACTGATTGAAGGTTTCTTTTTTTTTAATTAAGTATCAAAGTTATATGTAGTAGCTGCAGACATGTTGCTCAGACTTAACTGAAGTTTAAGCTGCTACAAAAACTGAATAAATAGTAATAATTTAACTTTATTAATCTCACACTGGAGAAATCCACTCTCTGCATTTAACCCATTCCCTTGGAGAGCAGTGGGTAGCCATTTGTCGGCCCGGGGAGCAGTGTGGGGTTAAGGGTCTTGCTCAGGGACCTAGAGTGGCAGTCTGCCAGTAATACGGTCCCTTTAGCAACTTTGTAATATGTGTAGTGTTTTGGTAGTTATCTGTAAAGACTTTGGATTTGTTAAAGCATGGGAGGAAGGTATCGGAGCTCAAATGTAGCACCAATAAAGACAACCTGCATCTCTAGGCCTCAAAATTCTAGCACTAGAACCCTGATCTGAGCTTGAACTCTAGACTTCTGAATTGCTTTCTCACTGCATGAGTCGCTGTTATTGATTTTTGTTATATTTAGTCTCTTTTCTTGTGTGGAATTCAGCTCACTTTGGTTTGCTTTGCTTTTGAAAACTTGCGGGTTACTATTTCGCAGTGTAGAATGGGGGATTGATGCAGAAGCTTTGTTGTGTTTAAACTGTGCGTTTCCTTATTCCGGTTCTGCCACAAATGAAACCAAACACAAACGCAGCGGAAGACCTTGCAAACTAAGCTCTGATGATACTCAGCAATTTATTTTGGCTGTCGAGCTGGTTCCAGGTCTGCTCTGGGTGATTAAACAGATATGTTCGCACACAACCCGTGAGCTTGCTTTGGCTTCTGCTATCGCTAAGGTGTCGCTTTTACAACTGCAGTCAAACCAGCGGTTTGCACAGCAGTGTTTTGCTTTTTTATTTTTACCACTTCCTGTCTCTATGCAAAGCCTATCAGAGGGAGATTGAACTGTCAGGGGTGAGAAGTTTATTTTCGTCAACAAACGCTGAGCTAGAGGAAGCGGCGTTGTTCAGTGGCCTTGTGCAGGAGAGGGATTGGTGAGTGATTTTTCTCTGCTTGGGGTCATGTCTCTATGCAGATCTTATTTATTTGTCATG